CCTCCCTCAGACCGGGCCATATTCTATCTGTGCGCGCAAGGGCCCGGACACCCCCGAACCTCACTCCATCCCTGTGGGCAGCGCGACAGGAAACGTGCACGTGGCTGGGCAATGCCCTGCTTACTCTCAGTGGCTGTGGAGGGCAGCAGGGCCACGGTGCTGGGGACGGGCCCAGCAAGCTCGCTGAGGCAGTTGCTCTCGATCGTCGGGTCGTTGAGGCTGTCAGCAGGGGCCAGGGCCTCGGTGGGGAGGTGGTGCTGCTGTTGCGCCTGTGCCTCCTGCAGCTGCTGCTGCTGCTGCACCAGGGCGGCCAGCTCCTGCTGCGTCAGCACGATGGGGATGGTGGTGGCCTGCCCCTCCTGGCCCTCAGCCGACAGATGGCCCAGCTCTGCCTGTGTCACGGCCGCCGCCGCGTCGGATGTGTCCATGGGTTCCCCAGTGCCTGCTCCAGAGTGGAGGAAAACAGTACTCAAGAGGGATGCCAGCCAGGATGAGTCGTCCCTGGCTTCCCAAGGTCACTGTCCCTGTTCCCCCAGCACTATGGGCAGTTCTAAGCGATGTGGACGTAGGCTCTGAAAGCCTGGTCCACGGACCCTATTTCCGGCCTACCTCTACTCTGCCCTAACCCAACCAAAGGGCCCTGCTTCCTTCCTGGGTTCCTAGTCCAGCTCAGCCCACCAGCTGTGCCTGGCCTCCCCATCACATATGACTCGGGCCACTCTGGTAGGAAGCGGGCCTCCTCTTCTGAGGCTGCATATCAGCAGGGCGGCTCTAGAGCCCTGTGTCCTTACTCCCCGAGGGGCCCGTCCTCCCTTCAGGGTGCTCGTCTGGCCTGGACCACAGACAGCGTGGTGCGCGCCCTCCCCGCACCTACCCATGACGGCCTGCTGCGCAGCCTGGAGCACCGCCTGGATGGCCAGGGCCTGGGCCTCCTCTGTGGCTGCAGCCTGGGCAGCCGCTTCGGCAGCAGCAGTCACTGCCAGCTCCTCAGGGGTGAGCCCTGTCACCATGAGGGTGGTCGTGCCCGCCTGGGCCTCGGCCATCAGCTCTTGGGGAAGTGCCAACTGGTCTACTTCAGACTGTGTGGGCGGGGGTGGCTGGACCACTACGGTGGCCACCACAGCTGAGCTGGCAGACTCCTGGCCTGAAGATGGATCCCCTGTACTGCTCAGATCCACGGCGGCCTGGGAGGCTGACAGGACCTCAGCGGACTCCCCCATCAGGGCTGTGGAGCTGGGCTGCAGGAGTTGCCGTGGGGGCAGCTGCTGGCGAGGCCCTGGCGAGGCCTGGAGTTCCTCTGGGGGCTGCAGGATGTCAACAGCAGAGAAGGGCATGTCAGATGTTTCTGTGTTGGCTATGGTCACTGTTATCGTGGCCGGGATGGGGACTTCGGTGGTCAGAGCCCCTGGGGTAGTCTCAGTCACTGATGAGATCTTCTAGAAAGGGAGAGAAGTCCCTGTGAGAGGGGAGAGGGAGGCCAGAACCAAGCAGCCTGCATCTTTCCCTGTGGGCCTGGATTCCCATTCTCAATGAGCTGGCACAGCCCCATTAAATGGGGAGGGCTGGCGGGCCACTGGGCAATGGCACAGGAAGGAAACTTCGAGACCCGCTGGCCGATTTTAACCCGTCCTCGGAGAGGCCTCCCAGTCTAGTCAAAAAGGGGCACTCAGGCTCCCGCCCTGTCACTCCTACAGGGCAACAGCAAGCCATGGGACTGGGGGACTCCTGACACCTGCCCTGCAGTGACTGAAGGCTGCCCTTCCAAGATCTGGGAAAGGACCAAGAACAATAATATGTGCGGTACAAGAGTGACACCTAGTGTCTGACTGTAGAACAGCACGGGCTGAAGGCGCACTGGGCAGCAGGGGGGCGAAAAAGGGATCCTCCAGAGGCTCTTACCGGCACGGAGGGGCCTGGGACCGGTGTAGACTGTGTCACAGTAGTCACAGCCCGTGTCAGCGTGGAAGACACGGTTGTTGTGACAGCACTGGAGCTGGTGATGTTCACACTGTCGCCCTGGGTGCTCTCCACCTCTCCCTGGTCACTGGCAGCCGGAGGAGGATCTGTGCAGGGCCGGCAGAGTGTGAGGTGACAAGGACTTAACCAGTGAGAGGCTAGGGGGAGAGGCTGGTTGACGGGAGCTCCAGGGCCTCTGCCTGGGCTCTGGCCAGCGAGATCTTTCACCACTTCCCTCACCCGTTGAGCCCTGGGCTCTAGGAGACCATGAATGCCAGGCTGGCCGCCTTCACACACCTTGGTTTGAGCTCATGTTGGAGGTGACAGTAGTGGCCGTGTGCGTGGTGCCCGTCTCGTGCGTCTCACAGGGGGGGTTGGAGCACACCCTCTGTGTCGGAAAAGGAGCCAGCAATGAAGTGCCGGCCTGGGAAGCGACGGTGGGCAGTGCTGCCCCCTCCAAGCTGGACTCCGGGGTCCTATGGGAGGGGGTAGTGTCGGGGAGCAGGGTGCCCATGCTAACCGACATGGTGGTACCAGTGGAAGTGGTCTGGTGCGTCTCGCAGGGCCGGCCGGCAGGGGGCTGCTGCCCACCCTCGGGCTGGCCTGCACCCCCGCCGGAAGTGGCGGTGGTGGGTGTGTGGGTAGTGCCCGTCTCGTGGGTCTCGCAGGGTGGGTTGGAGCAGACCCGCTGGGCGCTGCCTGCATTCGAGGTAGTGGCTGTGTTGGTGGTGCCCGTCTCGTGGGTCTCACACGGTGGATTGGAGCAGACTTGGGTCACGGTGGCTGAGGAGCACAACAGCGCCTCCAGGGCTGTCACAGTCACAGCGGTGCCGGGTGCGCTCTCGTACACATGTATGGGGATCCCCCGCACCGGGCCGAGCTCCCCAGCACCCATGGTGGAGCGGGCTGTGGTGGGGGTGTTGGTTGTATGGGTGTGATGTGCCTCTAGCTGGCGCCCCAGGGACATCAGCTGACCCAGGCTGGCTACAGGGCTGTCCTTGCCACTGGGGCCACTGGGCCTGACTTGGCCACTTGCAGGGGCCAACTGCACAAAAGTGGTGCTGCGGCCCCCAGCCTCCAGTGCCAGGCTAGGCCCAAAGAGCGGGCTGGCTGAGCACGGGGCCCCGGTGGCCATCACAGTCATGGTGGTGCTGGTTGCGCTGGTCTGGCGGGTTTGGCATGAGGGCTTGAAAGAACTCAGGACTCCCTCCAGTGCCCCCGCAGCCATACTGACCCGGACCACGGCAGGAGCCGTGGTGGCTGTACAGGCGCGCCGGGCGTCTTGCTGCTGGCCGGCACCAATGCTCGACATGGCGGTGGACGCGGTGCTAGTGGTGCCCGTCTCGTGGGTTTCGCAGGGTGGATTGGAGCAGCCGTGCTGCCCAGCCATGTTGGAGGTGGCAGTGGTGGCCGTGTTGGTGGTACCTGTCTCATGGGTCTCACATGGTGGGTTGGAGCAGACGCGAACCACGCTGCCATTCTGCTGGCTCACTGTCGAAGTCACGAGAGAAGCGGCTGCCTCCTGCCTGTCACAGACGAACTGCACTTGGGTTGGCTGTGGGTGCCCTCCGAGGTTAGCCACGACAGTGGTGGTGGGTGTGTTAGTGGTGCCTGTCTCGTGGGTCTCGCAGGGCGGGTTGGAGCACACCAGCGTCACGGTGCCGGGCTGCACGTCACCCTGGCCCGAGTCCGCAATGGTGACGGTGGCTGTGGGCTGTTCTGTAGTAGGTGAGGCCAGAATGGACACTGGGAGGTCGTGCACAGGCTGGGCCTCGACCCCGCTGGGCGCCGTGATCAGGGTCACCTGGGTAGGCTGAGAGACAGGCTGGGGAGACGCCAGACAAAAAGAGTTAGTGACACAACTTCCCGTTTGTCTGTCCCTCCCAACATCCTACAGTGCCACCCATGCCAGCTGAGACCACAGGCAGACTCAGCTCCTGCTCGCCCTCTGACCCTAAGACAGTGACTTGCTCAGGGACCAGGGAGGCACTGCTTCGCCTCAAGGGCCACAGGGCCTGGGTGGGACCAGCCCTGCTTAGGGAAGGAACCCCACTGACCCCGCATGGCACGAAGGCCAATAACAAACGCTTCACCAATGCCAGGAATTCAGCTGAAGATGAAAACCAAATGCTACATGCACATGAAGATAAACAGCTGCATCGTCTACGACACCACGAGAAAGAAGCTAGCGTTCAAAAAGTGGAAATGCTGAAGTATGACGTCTCGAACAGACTACTAGTGATCAAGAGGTGATTCTGCAACAGGGAACACACACGACACAGGTGCTACATGCACGAGAGAGAGGAGTTGCTGCACACAGTGGCAGAAGATGGGAGGCCGGTCACCTCAGGCTGGGGCTCATATGCGTCCCCAAAGTCACTGACACATAACCATGGCTTGCGTGCACTCCCAGCTACCTTACCTGCATGGTGATGGTGGGGGTGGAGAGACCACTGGCCGCTGTCAGCGTGGTCTGCGCGGCTGACACGGTGATGGCAGTGGGGTTGATCACCTGGCTTGAGAGGGTGGCAATGGTGCCCAACGTGGTGATGGGCGTGGCCAGGGAGGCACTGGTACTGTGGCCTCCAGCTCCGGCGAGGCTAGTGGAGACGGTGCCCGTGACGGTGCCCAGGGTTGTGACACCTGAAGGCAGGGAGAAGCAGGACTGGGATGAGGCCTGCGGCCGCTGCCTCCTTTCCAGCCGCTTTTCTCCCTGGACAGGGCTGGAGGGCACCGAGTGCCCCCAGTGGGAATGGAAGGCTCCGGAGAGAGCACCTGCGTCACCCCCCAGCCCTCCTGTGGGAGGTGGACGGAGAAAGAACATGCGAAGTGGCTACACACCTGTGGTGCCCTTCACAACCAACGTGGTGACGGCCGGTTTGACGGCAGAGACGGTGACGGGGGTGACCAGGCGGACGCCTCCCATGGGCACGGTGCGGAGGATGGTGCCTGGCTGTCCAGGGGCTCCCTTCAGCACCACCTGGAACATCAGAGGACAGCGCCCCCAACATTACTCACAGGCTGGCCGGACCCTGTGCTGCCCCCTCCCAGGCCCCCCAGGAGGACACATGTGGCCTGTTGGGGTCCTGTGGACACTGCAGTGAAGAGAGGACCGGGCACGCCTCACCTGGGTTACGCCTTGCTGCCCGTGGCCAGTGGCAATTTTGGGGACAGCAGTGATGATTTTCGCAGGTGCTCCAGTTCCCGAAGTCATAACCTTGGTGGTGATAATGGTGATAGGGGACTTGATGCCAGGAGTGCTGGTCACACCTAGACAGGAGAGAGGGAGGGTAGCATGGCTTCGGACCGGGCCTCCGAGGCTCCCCAGCGCTAGCTGCCCTGTATGTCCCATTCCCGGCAGTTACTCCTACGGCCCCTTCCTTAAAAGGAAGAAGGGCCAATTAAAGCCGCACCCTGCCACCTCCCTACAAACTTGAGCGAAAGGCGAGGAGAGGGTGGAGAAGAGGGGAGAACCAAACAGAAACCCAGAGCACGGCGCAGCCCGGTCACCATGCCTGCACGGCGATAGCCACCTGAAGCGGTTCGTCACCCGCACGCTGGGGGAGGTCCCTACCTGTGGCACCCGCCTGCGTGATGATGGCTGACATGGGGATGGTCTTGATGATGGTGGTCGTGCCAGGCTTGGTGGTGCTGGGGGACACGCTGCTGATGCCCAAGATGGTGGGCTTAGTCCCAGCTCCACTGGCCTGCGTGGTAGTGATGATAGTTGTGGGCTTGCCATCTGCCGAGGTCACCAGCTTCAGGATGGTCCCGGCGGGCAGGGGTCCTTTGGTCTGCAAGGGAAAACAGGTAGAGCAGGGTGAGGTGGACCAGCATCACTGCCAGGACATAAAGCCTGATGGAAGTCTGATCTGGCTACTCTCCATCAGAGGCCGAGGGATTCTGGGACTATTCGGAAGATAGTGCCTGACGGGGCCGAGTAGTAGGACTTCCTGTGCAACACGTACCCGAGGGACCTTCTCCAGGCAGGGAGGCAAATTCTATTTGCTTGTGTCGCAGAGTCCGGGACCCACAAGCTCACCTGGATGATCTGAGTCACAGGGCCTGTAGATGCCTGGCCTGTGACTGCTGAAGTCTGAACTGGTTTGGTCTGGACCACCGACATCACCTTGCCCAGATTGGAAATCTAAAAAGCAAAGAACGGAGCAGGGAGTGACGTGAAAACCAATCGAGAGCACGGCCTGGGCTGGGGCTCTCCTGGCACGGGCTTAGGACAGTGCCACAGCCTGGCAGCTGTCACACATGCAGCAGGGTGGCACCCATCACTCACCAGGGCACTGCCTCCTGGGACAGAGATGGGGCTCTTCACCAGGGTGATCGTCTTGGTGACTCCGCCCACCACTGTGGTCACCACCTGGGCTTGCTGGGCCACAGTCACAGTCCCTGACTTGTGCACTGTGATGATGGGACGAGTGGATGTGTTGGCAGCAGAGGAGACGGACGTCCCCACCTGGGCGGCTGCAGTCTTCAGCATGCGCGTGGCTG